GACCAGTACTTACACATGTTTGAGTTCGCAGATGCTGACGCTTTCATTCACCTCCATCCTCCCCACCACCACCTGGATGGTCCCTTCCCCTCCATCCTCCCCACCACCACCAGGATGGTCCCTTCCTATACCTCACAGGGGGTCGGCTGCACCCCTGCCTTCGTCTTCAGGCAGGAAATGCAGAGTCCGGACCCTCGGATTGCGAGCTATGGACGGGGCCTACGCCAAAGAACTTTATTGCTTGCTGGGCTATCAATAAATGTATTTATTTTTACAGTATTTATTCTCCCGAGTCTTTCTGGTAGAACTGTCAGTTTGGTTGTTCCCTGCCGGTTCGCCGCTTCAGGGCACCGTAGTGACTGTTCAACCAAATCCAGAGGCCAGTCTTGAGAGACTGGTTCCCCTAGTAGAATTTCTGGCAGCGTGGAAACTACTGCCACATATTTCTCAGTGGGTCCTGCACACTATAGAAAAGGGTTTCAGAATTCAGTTCGGTTCTCGTCCGCCCAGATTTCTAGGGGTCCTCCCCACAGTGGTGGACCCCAAGCAGGCTGTGGTTATGGAGCAGGAAGTACTGACACTTCTGCAAAAGGAGCTGTAGAAGGGGTTACTCCTCCCAGCAGACAGTCAGGGTTTTACAGCCATTACTTCATTGTTTCTGAAAGAGGATGAGGGGTTGCGTCCTACTCTAGACCTGTGTCAATTAAACAGCAGGTTTCAGAATCTCAAGTTCAAAGTATGCTTACGCTAAATATGATTGTCACAGATTCAGTCCGAGGACTGGTTTGTCACAATAGACTTAAAGGACGCTTACTTATGAAGCTATGCCTACATGCCTCGGCCATGTGGAAGAACCTTGGTTCCTCGCCCAGGCCCAGTGTTGGGGGCTTCTTGTCGACGCATAATTCTTCCCTCACAAGTCGGGGGTGATCATGAGTGGTCGCTCGGCGAAGGGTGTTTGGCAAGACCATCTACCTTTTAGTACATAATTGGCTAAAAGTGATGACGGTATTCCTGAGAATCTCAATACTTCCTGCCAGACCCGAGAGGTCACCATGTGTTTGTCCTTCCGGACAACACACTGATGGTCTCGTATATCAGAGCAGATATCCTGTTGAGGCAGGGGCTGAGGCCCGGGGAATGGAGACTTCACCCCGAGGTGGTGGAGCTTCTTAGGGAGAACTTCGGTCAAACTCAAGTCAACCTTTTGCATCGTTTGTATGTGGTTCTCCCTCCCGTATTAGGTGTGGTTGACGCTACACCTGTACTCATTTCCCGATATCTTTGCTCCCAGGAGTAAAAAAAAAAAAAAAGCAGAGGGTTCGCCGGGTAGGGGCTCATCTAGAAAAGATTATAAGTAGCCCCGTTCTGGCCGGCACGAGTGTGTTTCTCGGACCTATTGTCCCTTCTAGACGGCTCTCCCATGGAGATTCTGATCAGGAGGGATTTCCCATCCCAATCATGGGATACAATATTTCACCCTCATCTGGAGTTATGGATAATGTGGGCTCGGCCTCTGAGGGGGCCCAGCTCATAGATTCAGGTCTCTCGACCGAGGTCGTGGAGACCATACTCCAGTCTAGAGCTCCCTCCACGAGAAGACTAAATATGCATTGATATGAAAACTGTTCTCTGCCTGGTGCAGAACGCCTTCTGAATCTTGTTTTCTGCCCTGTTGGTACAGTACTTGATTTCTGTAATGAATGTTTCTTTGCTGGGTTATCTCTGAGGAGAGATCCTTAATTTCGTCTTCTTCATGGTACATGAGGCTGAGGCCTGCACGTACTTGGATTTGCACCTGGTATGGTGATAGTATTTCTTCACCCCAGGTCGGGTTGTATTACTAGGTCCCTACTAAATTTGTGGGTCATTTGTGCTGCAGGCCTTCTGTCCTCCACCTTTAATAGTCCAGATCAGGGAAAACTTAATCTGTTATGCCCTGTCCGGGCTTTGGATGCGTATGTCCACAGAGCTGCTCTGTGGCGTATATCAGAGCAATTATTTGTCTGCTTCAGGTCACCTAAAATAGGTTGCCCTGCATCTAAACAGATGATGAACAAGTGGGTAGTTGAGGCTATCTCACTTGCTTATGAAGCGGCCGGACAGCCTTCACCTTTGGCTGTCCAGGCTCATTCTACGAGGAGTATGGCTGTCTCTATGGCATTAATCTCGGGAGTTTTCCTTCATGGCATTTGTGATGCGGCATGCTGGTCCTCGCCACTTACATTTGTTAGATTTTATGACTTGGATCTTGGTTCCACTCCAGGGTCTAGGGTGCTTGCTTCTTAGTGTGCGCATTGACTTCACACATAACAGGCATTTGGCGTCGTGGCTTTATAATTTCCTGGTCGATGACGTCACCCGCCTATGACGTCTCGTCTCTCCATTGGACTGATTATACACGTGCTTCACGACGCAATCACCAGGGCGTTCCCACCGCGTCTCGATGCAGCGTCTCGTTCCCTCTCAGGAAACCAGGGTTACATACGTAACCTGAGACGTTTTTGCTGTATTTTGAATCGAATAAATGAAGAATACATTTTTTGATCACAGAACTTGTTTTCAGCAATAATCCAAAAGCCAATGGGAAAATCCTGTTGGGTTTTTGTCAAGGGAACTAGTGTGATGCTAACAAAGTGACGTCATACCTGCACCACTCAATAACATTGAAAAATGGATAAGTGTGAGTCTGGTGCAACAACCTTTACTAACCTTCCGAATTATTAAAAGTGAATGCAGAGGTGATAATGCACATATACATATGCTAGCTAAATGTATGTGTTAAAGCAACACCATGGAACTTTTCCTCTTCGGTCGCCCTACTGGTTGGAAACGAAATTGTCTATTACTGCTGTCGTAAATAATTTAGCCTACCGTCGCACGCACGCTCGCTGTTTATCCAGCACCGGCTTTAGAATGAACGATGTCCACAGACAAGGTAGAGTATGTTACATGATTTCATGAAAGGATGATGTATTGCGACATCAGAAACGAAGAAAAACGAAATAATGACTATTGTAGCGCTTGACGTAAAGCAGTCGAATTTTGTAGTTCTTTTTGTGGTCGGATTACTACCCGAACCCCGAAGTTCCGTAGTGCCAGTAAAAGCGATGCAGACCCCCGTCAGGCTATGGCAGAAGTGCCTTTCATCCTGTTAAAGGTGAACTTGATGAACCTTTGATAAGATTTTGGAAACATTATTTTAAGGTAAAAAATTTTACATAGTGTTGCTTTGATTTATTTAGAAAAAACAATGAGCTATGTTCCTATGCCACAGTTTAAATCTGCACAGAAACCATTCAAGCCACAGCTCACAAAGACTATATCGCAAATAGCTCGACATAAGCACTCAAGCCGCCGACTGCTAATAGCTTGTAAACTGCACTTTTGGAAGTTTCTGTCTGTTTATATTCAGCTATTTAGAATAAAATGATGCATGCTGTACGTGTGACTGTGAGGGACTAAGAGACGATTCTGAGAGAGTGGGGGGATGCGTTCCATTCAGAAATGATCACCCTATTCTTATCAACTTTACCTTTCACTATTAGAGCTTTGGAGCCCTGGGGCTATAAAATAATTGTCATTTGGAATTAATTTATTAAATCTCTTGATAATGATTAGACTATAAAGGCATCATTTAGGTAGTTATGCACCCAGGGATTGTGTGTGATTGTGTGTGTGTGATTGTGTGTGTGTGTGTGTGTGTGTGTGTGTGTGTGTGTGTGTGTGTGTGTGTGTGTGTGTGTGTGTGTGTGTGTGTGTGTGTCATACAATACGTCATATAGATTATTTAATGAATAATGTCTATGTAGATTTTTTATTCGACTCTTTAATCCTATAAACAGAAATGGTTTAAACTTATTTAAAAACATTTGAACTGGAATTAAATGTTATTTTTAGCCCTGCTTCCAAAAAATCATGGAACTTAAGTGATTTGGGAACACTCTACAGCTCTGCACACCACACAAATAGTGCTACTAATGCGGAGAGCAAAGAAGTCTTGATTTATAAATCAAGCTTAATGATAGTTCAGGGAAGCCACATCAGTTATGCTCGCATCATGATTTGACAAGTACCTTGTTACAATGATCCTTTAAATTCACTCTCAGATGATAATGCTATAGCTGCATTTATACTCCCGCCTCCATCTTCAGCTACAACTTAGCTGATAGATGTCAGTGATTCTAGGCTAGTGATGTAATCTTCTTTACCTCTTCTGTGTATTGTCATTTTATTAAGCCATTTTATCTATCTAATTATTGTGAGAAACTATCAAATATGTAAACTGCTGTACCTGTTTTATTTCAGCTGATGGGTAAAAATATTAGTTATCTCCTCGCCTTGTCCAGGCATGGCTTCATCATGCTTCATTCAGTTTGGCCCAGAACAAAATTGTACAGCCAAACATAACTGTTGCCATGTATAAATAAACTATTGATGAAAGTGACTGAATTAATTCGAAAACAGAATTTGAGCAAAGATATTTTAATACGCAAAAAAAATCCACAGCACACACAATTGATAGTAAAAAAGGTTGTTTATTACACTCAACTATTTTGTATTTCTGCATTTAATTGTATGAAATACGTTTATATAAGTACTATAAACATTTCTAGTACATTGTCAACATCTTGGGTTTACGGTTTCAATTTTCACAAATGTCATGCTGCTTTGAAACACACAAAAAGAGACTAGGCAGTATCTGACAAATGCAGTCATCATTCACATTCATTTAATCCTTTTTAGTTTTTTTTGTTGTTGTTCATACAATGAAATTGAAATGTGACAGAGACAATCATGCCTAATATCTCCCTCAAAAACAGATTTGGAACAACCTGAGGTTGAGTAAATGATTATCATTTCATTATCACTCTCTCTTCATTATTAGGTCAATGTTGATCACTAAATTGTATCATTCTTGTACCTGAACATCTAAATACATATGAAATATTCTGAAATAGCGGTATTTGTGTAGTTGTTGACCCCCCTCCTCCGTTCAATCATGAATGACAATCTATAAAAATGTCCATCAGAGAGGATGCTGGCTGAAATATTCTAAGAGTTAAGATGCGTTTAACTGATATTTTAAACCAGCTGTAAAATAAAGCATAGACAATAGGATTCAGACCTGAGTTTATATGAAAGGTCCATAACAGAAATGTCATTGTAGTGGATGAAATTGTTGTGGTTTTTGTTAAAGAACAGATATAGAATGGAATCCAGCAAAGTAAATAAGCCGTCACAATAATTCCTAATGTCAGAGCAGCTTTACTCTCAGATTTTCTCCTAACTGAAACTTCCATTACAAATTTTACACCATTCATTTGAGTGTTAATAACCTTCACTTGCTGATGTGCAACATAAAATATCCTCAAATATGTAGTGATTATAACAGTACATGGAAATAAGAAGGTAAATATAAAATCAGTGAATCTCCAAGCAGGAGTAATCAAAACAATACACTGGCCATAACACATTGTTTTGTCTGACATGTTAAAATATCCATTACTAATTACCGACCAAATATTGTAAACTAAACAGCAAAACCAGCAGAGACAGATGCTTATTAAAGTTTTAGTTGCGGTTATTTTCTGTGGGTACAGTAAAGAGTAACACACAGCCATATAACGATCAACAGCAATTAAAACTAAATTACTAAGAGATGATGAAAGGAGCAACCTAACAATAATTACATATAGTCCACAGTAAGTGTCTCCAAAGTACCAACATGTCTCAATTTGCTTGATGCCCTCTATGGGTATCACAATAAGTCCAATAAGCAGGTCGGCCACAGCCAGAGAGAGAATAATCAGGTTGGTTGGAGTGTGAAGCTTCTTGAAGTGAGAGATGGAGATGATCACCAGCAGGTTCAGAAACACAGTCCATGCTGACAGCAATGATACAAAAATGTAAATGATATTATGTTCAAAACTGGACCGTTTTCCCTTGATACATGATGAGTTGATGGCAGGAAAGCAGTATTGAGTCTCATGATCCTCTGTCTCATAGGCCATGAGTGAGTCTCCTCCTGTTAGGAGTTTGTTCTGCTCTCCTTACTGTCCTTTAATTTATACAGTGTCTGGATCAGGCTGGCCCACCCATTTTCACTCACTCTGATGCTGCATAATGAAATAATTATTTTATTTTCCCAAGTTTTAATGTGATAGATACACACAACTGTAATTTGAAGCATAATTCAAATCAGAATAACCCTTATTCTTGTGCGCATCAAATACTTATTTCATAATTATTAATCATTAGAGATGCACTGGTCAACCAGCTATCAATTGGATCCGGACCGTTTTTTGCTCTAAACACAGACGTTTGTTTTTATTTTTTACTATTTCTTTTCCAGACTTGTACACAATCTGCATTGAAGTCATTTCCCAAATTGTCATTTGTGTGGATGTTATTACGAAGACTGTAAACAGGATGTTAACACAGGTGACAAGAAAATAGGCTGATTTACTAGGCACAGCGAGTTCACCAGCTTTCGACCTGCTAATGACGGCCTACTCGCTTGCACTGACCCTTTGACTCTGACTGGCAAAGTGGCGGTACACAAGAAAAAGCAAAGGTATGCTAAAGATTAAAATATAGAAGCCACTTCAAGCACTGATTGGAACAAAAATATAAATATTGAATTTAGGGTGGGGGTTTATGTATCTCTAAAGGGAACGTCGTGGTTACGTATGTAACCCTCATTCCCTGAGTAGGGAACGGAGATGTTACGTCGAGGGACGACGAAATGGGGGTTTCGCTTAGAAGCCTATCACCTTCCAGTATAAAAAAATTAGCCAATGGCAAAGAAGTGCCATGGGTCTGCGGAATTTGCATAGCGCAGCTCCGCCCCACCTCGTGGGTATATAAGGAAGGACGCTGGCAACATGCAGATATGTTTCCTGCTGAGGAACTAAGACTGAACTCGGCGTTCCAGCGGAACAGTGGAAGTGGCAGGAAGACGTAACGTCTCCGTTCCCTACTCAGGGAATGAGGGTTTGCATGTTACATACGCAGAGGTGGGTACATTTACTTCGTTACATTTACTTGAGTAGTTTTTTGGAAATTTTTTACTTTTAAGAGTAGATTTAATTGTGGGTACTTTTACTTTAACTCGAGTACATTTCTAATGAAAAAACTGTACTTTAACTTCGTTACGTTGGGCGACGTTCCTCTCGTTACTTTATTTCAATGCAATATGTTGTTAAAAGCGTAGTTTATTCTAAGCGTGCGCTCTCTCTTTTTCCTGGGCATGAGCGATGCTCAATTCACAAATGAATCACTCTTTTGAGTCGATTCCGTTCAAAGACGTCATCAAACAAGTTGGGCAGATCTGTCTAAATCGGTTCGCGAATCAGTTTGAATGATCTGTTCAGTTTCCTGCACGCACTGAATCGTCTCGGAGTCGTAACAGGAAGAGCGTTGTATGAAGTGGCGGTCCACAGTCTACAGTAGCCTACAGTCTAGAAAGTAAATCTGCAAATGCATCATATTTTTTGCCAGCGATGAAGATCTTTATTAGTTGAACATCTTCGTATGTTACTTCGTAAGCTGTCTGTGAATGAATTATTCCACACGACGATACATTCGATTTCATTCAGGTAATACATTTTACAACCAAACAGATTATTACGCCATATAGCACTACTACAAAGTATGACATTACCCTTTTTTTGGACATATACATTACTTTATAGTTATACATTAAATAAGCTACCATCGTCCAGTTTATGAATGTGTGTAGTGTGTACACACACAATGTGTGTATTGCGCAGTGGCGTACGAACTCGACTTGAAAACGAATGCCGTTGCCTGCCTTATTAGACACAGTTAACCAGTTTAAAGATGCTTTCATAAATATAGCCTACATTTAAATACATTTTGGAGAACAGACAGAAGAATATCCTTGCATTTGATCGTTGTTTGTGTTGGGCATGACATGACTGCCATCGCTTTACATTTGAATGCAAAACTGTCACGTTACGCTAAATAGAACCCAAGCGCAGACAGTAATTTTACAAAACACGGTTTATTACAAACGGAAAACAAAGACCCACGATGGGGCAAACAAACAGTAACTCAGATAATAACTAGACTTGACCACAAATAGGAACTGGAACTTTCACAGACAGAGCACAATACTCACAGAACCGACTGTTAACAAGACGAACCAGCACTGAGGAACAAACACCGGGAGCTTACATAGAACACATCACAAAAGGTACAGGTGACACTGATGAACATCAATACTAACGAGGGAACAAGGGGCGTGGTAAGGACACATGATCACAATCACAGGTGACACTGATACAACATTAACAAGGAAACCAGGTAAAACACAAGACAATGCCAACACATAGCCCAAAACAACCGGCCATGTGTTTGCACACAAAACAAGAGACAAATACATGACATAACCTCCTCCTTACGGAGCGGCTACCAGACGCTCCACATGGGACATAACCGACTGTAAACTAGACATAAACCAACAAAACATAACAACCATTAACAGTGGCAAACACGAAAACATAACAGTAGGATCGGGATGACACAATAAAAATAACACATGAGGGAGGGGGGGTGGGGGAACAAAAGAGTTCGTAGGTGGAGGTCCAGGGTGGGTGGGTGGAACAAAAGTCCTAAATTCACTGGACATGGGCACTGATTGAGGACACGAAAACCGGGCAGTTCTGGGTGGAGACACATGAGGTACAGTCTTGGGGGGGACAGGTCGGGGCACAACAGGAACAGGGGTAATCGGGGAAACAACAGATGTTGTGGCAGCAAGCAGAGGAGACGATACAGAACCCAAAACTGGGGGCGTTGCAACTCGCAACGGACCTGGGACAGGGGGTGCCACAGACGACTCAGCGTGGGCAGTAGTAGACTCCACAGCTGGGACAGGGCTGGACCTGGTCACTCTCCCATCTACCACAGCGTGGACAGAACTAGACTCCACAGCTGGGACAGGGCTGGACTTGGTCACTCTCCCATCTGCCTTAGCGTGGACCAGACTGTCAGAAGCAACCTGAAGAATCGGCACGGAGCCGGGAAGGGATTGAGACGGCAAACCCGACGATCTCTTCCTCCTCCTCTTTGACCGCGGTGCAGAAGCCATAGCCGGATCTAGGATCGGTACCGTGATCCCCGCAGCCAAGGCTGAAGGACCCCCCGCCAACGTCGAAGCAGCGAGAACGTGGGGGCCAAGCGTTGTCGTGGCTAGGACACGACTCTCCGGGATCGCTGGTAATGCAGAAGCTGACAACGTCATTGTGGGGTCCTGCCGCTCCTTTCGACGCACATGGTCCACTACCTCTCGAAATGGGCGTCGGATCAGCCCCTGCCGTTCAGCCAGCGGAGGAGGTACATTGAGCCCCGCGATGAAATAGGAGTTTAGGAGGACCTCCGGCGTAAAATTTCTCTTCTCCTCTAGGCCCTGGGCATATCTCTCCAGGGATCTCTCTCCCTGGGGAGGAAACGGAATCTTGCCCCTCCTCATGTCCTCGATGGTCGACTGCCACCATCGCTCCTGGTCACCCAACTGGCTACTGGCGGAACAAGACATAGTCGACTGTCTGCTGGGTTCAAATGGGCTGGTTCGTTCTGTCACGTTACGCTAAATAGAACCCAAGCGCAGACAGTAATTTTACAAAACACGGTTTATTACAAACGGAAAACAAAGACCCACGATGGGGCAAACAAACAGTAACTCAGATAATAACTAGACTTGACCACAAATAGGAACTGGAACTTTCACAGACAGAGCACAATACTCACAGAACCGACTGTTAACAAGACGAACCAGCACTGAGGAACAAACACCGGGAGCTTACATAGAACACATCACAAAAGGTACAGGTGACACTGATGAACATCAATACTAACGAGGGAACAAGGGGCGTGGTAAGGACACATGATCACAATCACAGGTGACACTGATACAACATTAACAAGGAAACCAGGTAAAACACAAGACAATGCCAACACATAGCCCAAAACAACCGGCCATGTGTTTGCACACAAAACAAGAGACAAATACATGACAAAAACTCCATAGTCACTTTATTCCGACATTGTCTAATAATCCAAATGTAGTTGTATAAGTTATTATACTATTATACAAACCAAAGGACAGGCAATGGTTTTCGGGCTATATATATAATATACAGAAATAATGTTTGTCTCTTCTGCTTTTGTTGCAAAGATAGCTTATCTAATTATGATAATTTTAGTAATTTAAATAAAATAAAAATATCTAAATAATATCATGTTATATATATATATATATATATATAGGCCTATGTGATCCAATGTAACTAGTAACTAGTAACTAACTACTTGAGTAGTTTTTTCATTGGATACTTTTTTACTCTTACTCAAGTAACTTTTAAGATTATTACTTTTACTTTGAGTAAATATTTCTATAAGTACTTGTACTTTTACTTGAGTACAGTTTTTGGATATTCTACCCACCTCTGTACATACGTAACCGAGACGTTCCCTTTCGTAGTCACTCCGAGTTACGTCGAGTGACGAGGAAATGGGGGCACCAGTCTAATCACGCCACCTCTCGGCTGTCTTCCAGTGCCCTGCGTAAGTGTGAGCTCCTTGTCGTGAGACTGGCACGGACGAAGGACTTCAACTTAACACAGGAATACCAAGGCACACTGGGAAGCATATCTCAGTGGAAATATACAAACCATGCCTGCCTGAAGGGAGGTCTTAGTACACGAATGACCCGAGAGGGGGTAGCATATGGAAGAACACTGGAGTGTCCAGCCCATAGGGTGGAATCTTTCAACTTTAGGGGTGGCAAGGTGGCTTGCTGAGGGAAAGACACATGCTCAAGGAGGCTTACAGTGAAAAAACACATGTGGGGGTCACCCAGCGGGGGAACCATGGACATGGAGGCACCTAGCCAACTGCGAAAGCGACCGGGGGCATAACCTTGGCGTTGACGTGCTGGAGGAACTCAGGGCTTCTCAGGGACACTCACCTGAGGAGAATATTGCACGTATCCAGTCCGTGTAGTGGAATGGCGAGCAAGCGAATACACCTGAGC